TGAAACCTTTACAATGTCCAAGTAATGTTATTTTAGTAAAGTTGTGTTTCGCTACAAATGAAGTACAAAAATAATGTACAGTGGTAAGCGTGTGATCACTTTGAGCCCTGTATTCAGACTTGAAATTGCTTGTTATTCGCGAGCTGCTGAAAAGTGTTTTCTAAGCCGCAACATGTTTCGTAGGAGACATGAAAGGGCTGGCCATAAAAAAATAATTTGTATACTAGAAAACTGTGACAACTGGTGCTGTAAACAAAAGTTCGTTTTGTTTCTCACTCGAGTTACGTAAGCATAGGCTAATAAAGCCATGCGTGTGAGTCTACCTGGCAGAATTTATACATTTTCACAAAAACAGCTTGATAAAGTGCATAAAGTGGCATATCTTTTAAAAAAATGTTTAGAAAAGAAAGTACCACTAAGGAATAGATCTCGTGTTCGATTGCTATATGTATGTGCTCGTAATATCTGTTATTAATATCTGGCGTCCCAGTAATATCGACGCTTGTTTAACCATTGGACTTTTTCAGTGTGATAACTGCACTGGCTTATTCATGATAATTTTTATTGATAAATTCACCATGTATACAGACATACCTTGAGGCAATGTACATTACCTGAGTCCTAGGGCTCTTTTCTGTTTGTGTGTCGGTACGAGAAACACGTACTGGCTATCTAATTTTTGCGAAGTATCCAACCCAACGTTCAATGTGCTATCAATGCAGCAAAGTTCCCGAAAGTGGGTCAGAACATCGCCTGGAATTACGAGCCAACGCAGACAGAAGTCATCGACAGCGCGGGCCGAGTGAAGGACTGGTTTGATGAATACCAAGACTTCAACCCCGGCAACGTTGATCCTTTCCGCGTGAGCCCTGGACGAGTGGTCACTCACTTCACGCAGGTGCGACACTGTCACTCTTGCTTTCGCCGTAAATTTCACGCCGTCCCTCACGTGCAAAATCAAAGCAGTGGCTGGATGGTCAGCATTTTACTCGAATTGTAATCACGCTTAGTAGTTACACTTAGTCGTTTCAGTAGCTTCAATGTGGCTCTTCAGCTGCTGTTGCTGTGGCTCATGCGCTACCTTTTGTGACATCACATCAGCTGTCACCATAGCTAGACGTGGTGAGGTCTGTTGCCGAGCTCTCCTTGGAATGACATCGTAACAAGTTGGTGTGATGGCTTGGCGAGGCGAGGTCAGGTAGTGCACAGCTGTCGCCTGACTGGTTACAAGTCAATGGAGTAACAAAATTTCTTGGAGAACAAGAATCTATAAGCCATGCTTAACAGCTTCACTATTAAGCTTGGTGAAACGATACTTCATCAAATTTATTTCTAGAATATTAAATTTTGTTACTTCGAATTGGCTAGACCAGTGTAGAACAAGTCAGTAACACTTCTCTGAATAGAAATGGGAATACACATAAAAGATACTGTTCAGAACGAGTCTGATAAAAGCAAAATATTTTCACCTTATTGTGAAGTAAATACAAGTATTATATATACACTGTTGTGTTTGTCATTAAATCTTACCAGTCGGGGTAGTATTCACTTTGTCAACGTTACTTGCCACCTAATTATACTGAAACAGGATGGCGACAGAGAGCATTTTTGTTTCTTCAGGTAGCTTGGGCGGAAACACGTTACATAGGATGTGGCTATACACACTACAAGCTTCGCAACGACGATAATCCCAGGTTTCCATATAAGAAGCTCTTCGCATGCAACTATGCCCCAGGGTGAGTGATGACACTGTTCGTATATTCAGCCAGTTATTTTAGGGATTTAGAAAGATAATAACTTGTACACTGTGTCGTTGAGTAATCTGCAATGTAGTTTGCGTTGAAGAGCACTGTTTGGTGATAAAGCTCCATACTCCTAACCACACCCAGGAATGCGAGAAACACAGCGTCTTGTCACCTTTGGCCTCATAAAAAGGCTAACGTTGGTTGCTGGGCATGGGAATATATTCAGTGCCAGAGAGCGCCAAGGTCAACAAATGCACCACCAGCTCGCCGGGTCTTTTTTCAGCACGACATCTTCTTGTCGACATTGCGGGTCTTCTACCAGTGTCCGAAAAGCAACGTTACATACTCACTTAAAAGGTCGTTATACCCACTGGTCTGAAGCAACGCCGATAAGTGACATCACTGCAGATTCTGTTGCACATGCATAACGAGCAAGTCAGGTGTTGCACACCTGACTTGCTCGTTATGGCGTGCAACACTTATACGCATACACATACGAACTACCGCTTACCACCCTAGCTCGAACGGCATGGTAGAACGCTTCAATCGTGAACTGAAGCATCACCGCGCGCAAGACTAAACAATTCTGATTTGATTGATTTGATTAATTTGTGGAGTTTAACGTCCCAAAACCACCATTTGATTATGAGAGACGCCGTAGTAGAGGGCTCCGGAAATTTTGACCACCTGGGGTTCTTTAACGTGCACCCAAATCTCAGCACACGGGCCTACAACATTTCCGCCTCCATCGGGAATGCAGCCGCCGCAGCAGGGAATCGAACCCGCGACCTGCGGGTCAGCAGCCGAGTACCTTAGCCACTAGACCACCGCGGCGGGGGACTAAACAATTCTGGACGGGGCACCTGTCTTTCGTTTCTCTAGGTCTTTGCGCCATGGTGAAAGAAGACACAGAGTGCTCATCTGAAAAGCTGGTTGTCGGCACGATGTATGATGTTAAAGGTGGGATATTTGCCTCGGAACCGCCAATCTGAGATACCCTCACAGGCAAAATGAATGTTATCGCGTGAGCTCTGAGCGGCCTTGCGTCCCAGGGGCCAATCGGCACGTTTTAGAACAGTATTAAATCCCGATTCCGCATTATTCTTGCCCTTGTTGGCTGTTGCAAGGTGCACCAATTGCCATTATGACCAACTTTACACGGCATGCTTACCGATAGTGTGCGCGTACCTTTCCCGGCTGTCACTGGCGTTGCGAGTGTTAGTGAAGCCGATCGCGTTCGCGAATGACAATGTCATCGCCGACTAGGTTCGAGCCAGGGCAGCAGAACGCAAGCGTCGGTAGTGGAAAGACCAGCGACACACACGAAGTATGAGACAAGAACACCGATTGCGTTCGAGAATACAGATGACGCGCGCGTAACACCGACGAGATGCGAGCCAAGGAAGCCGAGCGCTAACGTCTTTAACGCGTCCCGCTTCCGGTGTCTTTGCGTATACAACAAAAGTTTACTCGAGTAAACGCTTCACCGAGTTTTTCTTCAAACTTCCAGCAGCCGCGTCAACACCCATTTGAAGCAGCTCAGTCCCGCCACAGTGATATAGTGGCGAAGGCACTCGGCTGCTGACCTGAAGTTTATAAATGAACGAAACCACGTTCATTACGCTTTGTTCGAGCCGAGGGCACTTCGGTGAACCAGGACAGAGCACTATAGCAGGGAGAGTGGCTAGGGCGGCCTTCATTTTATTACCGGACGTCATGGAGGTAGCAATGTGCGGGCCGCTTGCGTGGTTTGAATCTTGTGGCTCTCGCGGAGCTGGTCGCTGACCGGTGGCGTGGCCGCATTTTGGAGAAACAAGATGATTGCTAGCCAGAACTCGGTGGCGTGATCTGGGGGCGAAGGCTCCGGGCATGCCCACGTCTAGAGAGAAGCTGAGGGTCCCCGTTTTATGGTGGCGAAGACATGAACCCTGTGTGGGGTGCACACAGGGCACTCGCACTACATGTGGTTGGGATGGGTCCGGCAGTTGCACGTAGAGAGCAAAAACCTGTAGCGGGTGGTGGTGTGCCACCCGTGTGAAAAGGGATCAACAAGAAAGGAGTAAGAAATGTTCCTGCTTGAATTCGCTGAAGAAGGACAGACTCTCGCCGTGTGAAGACCTTCGAAGGAAGTGATTGTATTGAGAGTGGATTACCCACTGCTGTGAGGCAGGCAGCACGATGTTGTTTGGTAATGTGCTATCTATTATCGAATCTGCTAGCCCTGGTGGTGTAGCCAGAAGAGTGGAAGGAGTATCAAAAGCTCTGGCTAGCGCGGTGAAGAAATGAGCGCATGCTAATCTGTGAACCTTCTCGTTTCTGGCGATACCACAGCGCCCTGGCACATGCTGTTTCATAACGTGATGACCGTATTCAGGGAGCAGGCGCGTCTAGTCTCGTTATCTTCCGGAGTACAGGACCTGTATAAAGAAGGTTAGTGTATGCCCCATGGCCAGCCTGGGAATCGGTGTATACACTCGATGGTAAGCCGGATCAATTTTTGATGGCCCGATCCAAACAATCTAAGATAGTCACTACCTCTACTCGAGTGCTGTACATCTCTTCCGCTGAAACATGATAACAAAGCCCTGATTTTCATTTGTTTTTGAAGTTTAAAACACCGCTTTTCTTCCTGCTCGACCAACGTGGTTTGGCCATCATGAATGACAGCAAACTGTTTTGTCCGGAGCGGTGTGTTGTTTCTATTGCGTAGTCATAAATAATGCTGAGTGCTATTTGTAAGACATCCTCCTGCTCACCGACGGTTCCTTGGAGCGTGCACGCGGTTACATCGTCGGCATATGCGCCGTGTTTCAGGCTCGGTACGTTCGCAAGGTGTCTTGGTAGCTGGTACACAGCTATGTTAAAGAGGGTGGATGCGATAACCGAGCGCTGGGGAAAGCCTACCTGGTTAGTTTGTACGGTCCTGGTGTCTTGGCCGACTTCGACTTGGTAGCTTCGCCCTTCCAGGAAGCCCACTATGAAGTTATACAATTTTCCTTTGATCTCAAGGGCACTTGCTTTCGTCATGATTGTACTTTGCGGTACGCCATCGTATGCCTTGCGTATTACCACTTCTACAACAGCCCGTGGGTGCAGCGAGCTAGGGTCGAAGACGTCTAATTTTAGGCGAAGAAGTACATCTTCTTGATACGCCTGCGCGAAATCCGTACATTGTAGGGGCCAAAATGTCGCGATCTTCAAGGTACCAGACCAAGCGTGTGTTAACCATGCTGCCAATTACTTCAGAGACACACGAGTTTATAGAGATTGGGCGGAGGTTGGATAAGGTATGGGGTGGCTTACTGGGCTTCAGATTGGGCTTGACTATGAAAACCTTCTATGTTACTGGCAGTATTCAGGTATCGCTGACTGTATCAAACTTTTTGATAAGATCATCTTTTTTACTCAAGGGGTATATTGCCTGAATGAGCAACGCATACACCATTGGCTCCTGGTGCACTGCGTGCGATATCATGTTAAAAGGCGTATTCCAGCTCGAGCATGAAGAAAGGGCTATTGAATGGTTCAGTGTCTTCAGCACTTGCAATCTTCTGGTATGCATATTGCATGGGCTGAGATGTCTGCGGGAAAAACAATTGAGCGCCTTGTTTAGCGAGCTCCTGATTGCTCATGCCCTCCCGAAAGGCAACACGAAATATGCAATTGTTATGCGTTGGTCGAATAGAGAGTGCAGAAGGACCCATACCTTTGACGTGCGAGTCTGCCAATTGATGATTTTACAACTTCCCATCTAGTGGTCTGACGCTAGCGTAGTGGTACATTTCTCAATAGAACGTCGTATTTTGTGCAACCATGTTTTGTGGTGCTCAGCGGAAGCCGCGGGGCGGTGCTGCATCTCTGCGCAGGGCGCTGTTCAGTTCATTCCCGCGCTGTTCTCGGTGCATCCCCGCGCTGTTCAGTTCACTGGCACGGTGGATGGACGTGTTTTTTGAGCGCTCCTGATTAACTGCGCAGATAAGTGGTTTTGCATGTTTTGAGCTTGCCTTTATAATTAGCAAGGCAGCAGTTATCATCTTTGTAGCACTTACTACATTCTACGGCTTTTTCGGGGATCAGTAACCAGGTATTTACTAGCTTGTGCGCGTGTGTTTTTGTTTCTTTGCGGTTTTTTCTCTTGCCACACCGTGGGGGAGGTGCACGTACATTGAACACGCAGATATTTGTAGTAGAGCTTAGACTTTCTGTTTTTCTAGGGCAGGGATTGTGCTTAATTATCGTGTGAGACAAGTCATAAAGAAAATTGGTGTCACAAAGACATGCTTAAAAAGGCTGTAAAATGTTCAGGATGCGGGATGGGTTTTAAAATGGACCCAAGTGCAGAAGCAAATGTAGAAGAGGCTGACGCGAAGTGTAGGCAATGTGAGGTCGAGGAAGAAATGGAGAAAATGATGGTTGCCCAGAATGAACTGCTGAAGAGAATCACCGAGCTGGAGACTGCGTTGGCGATAGAACAAGAGAAAACAAGGGCAATGGAGAAAAGGCTGAATTCCACCGAGAAAGCACTAGACAAGGTGAACAAAGGAGCAGCCGACGAAGAGAACAGTAGGGCACCGGCAACCAGAACAGCGGAGAAGAAAGAGCAAGCAAGTTTGCAAAAACTAGGTTCAGCTGGTTCATTGTCGCAAGGCCCAGCTTCAGTGAAGTAATGATGGGGCTTGGAGGGGACAAAGCAGCCAGCGTCACAGGTGCAAATAACCCCCAGGTGCACGACGCTCCCGCTGAAAAATCACAGCATGTGATAACCGCCGGGGACTCGAATTTAACTCGATGCGCAGAAGCAATGAAAGAGAGGGTAAAAAATG